CACTTATGAGCTTATGCCACAACTTACATTATTATTATTACTCCGATTTTTCCTATGCGAGTGCGAGTGCGAGTGCAAGTGCTGCTTCTTGGCAATAAATAGTTATAGACTGCAGAGGGCACTTGCCGCGGTCGCAGGCGGAGAGTTTGTTTTAATTAAGGCCCATTAAGCGCAATGGTTTATAGGTCCTGTGGGGGTTCGATCGCGCAGGACTTGCGGAATATGCAAACTCTGAACCAGAGACCATCCATCCGCATCCGAAACCAGGCTGAAATCTCATCACACTGTTAAACATATTACGGGGAATCGAATAAAGCAAAGCTCTCGCATGTCATAAGCGTTAAATTCAATTTGAGTTTACAACGCTTTCATGTGCGAATGGGAGGGCGAACTGCTGGGGCTTTGTCCTGGCTGCTGGCTGCTGGCTGCTGTCTGCTGGCCAGGTCCTGGTCGGGGAGGGGCTTGTTTGACAGTTTTTGCAGCGCACTCAATCAGCACTTGTTAGAACTTTTTAGTGTGCTGTAAAATAAACATGAGTAAAGAGCCGAAATGAAATGAAATTTAATAAATGCAGTGCGGCAGAGTCGAGTGGCACAGTGGCAGTGGCAGGAGGAAACAGGAGTAGAGCAAAGCGACAGGCAGCATGACATGCACTTCATAAAACTTTGCTCATAAAAATTGAAATTGAAATGAAATGATGATTCCAGGGCCGCTGCGGTGATATGGGATGCGGTGTGGGGCAGGCGGGAGTGTCCACATGTGTGTGTACATATATGCCACGAACCAGTGAGAGTTGACAACCGACGGAAGCCCTGTCTCTATCTCTTTCGCCATCTCTGTCTCTGTCGCTGGCCCCTCCCCAAACCCGCCCATTGCCGCACAATTGTTGGCTGTAAAAATTTGTTGGCCAAACAACAAGTGGAGCAACCAAAGCAGCAGCAACAGCCTGAAAAACAACTTAAACTGTCATTGCAAAGTTTGGGGCAAAGCCCGAGGCAGGGGGACCTGGGACCCGGGCTGGAACCAGGTAGGGGGCCTCCCCCGAGGAGGACAGGCGGAGCTGCAAGAACGGAGGTATTAAAAACTTTTCTCCGAGCAATTATGTGAAGGCTACTTAACTTTTTTTGCAGGCAATAAATTTTGAGTTTAAATCGAGGCACCTGGGCTGCAGCACAATTTTGTTGCATCCCCGCTCCTGGCAGGGAGTCCTGGATTTTTCGGGGCCCGCCCACTCGTAGAATTCATAGAGCTATGTGCCGAAATTCAATTAGCCAGCCGAGCGGAGCCAACTCCTCCGGCTGGGAGGAGCGGGGAGTCTGTGGCAGAATCAGTTTGCCACTTGGCATGCCACGCAGTTTTGGGAAATCCTTTGAAATACACGCGTGCTCATGGTTATGGATCCTCCCCGCCTGCATAGATACACTCCCTCCTCCGACCGCCCTCCCACTCGTTTGTATTTGTGTGCTTGTGGTTGTGACAGGCTGCTTGCCGCCGCTCTGATGCATATTTGCCTCGATTACTCCGAAAATGTCACATTAATTATTGGCATTTATGGGGCTTGCGCCGCTTTTGATATGATAGACGACAATGCCGAAATTTGAAGTCTGCTTTACGGCGCTATTGTAGTGTCCTCAAGAGCGTTTGTGTGTTTGTGTCTGTGTCTCTGCCTGTGTTAGTGTCTGTGTGTGGCAGCTCAACGGATATTTACGTGTGTTTGCTAGTGTGCGGTTGTATTAATTGAAATTTGTTTTTGTGTGTCAGCTGCAAGACGGCGCCGGGTGGCTCATTGTTGGGTTTTGCGGCAATTAAAAGTTAATTTGACAAAGCGAGACATTTCTAATTAATTTCGAGTCTAAACGACATTTTAATTCAATTTATGTTTTTGGCAGCACTTGACAACACAATGAATGGAGAGGCCCGATTGACTGAGCTCCGAAGTGGCACAGATAGAAGGCCCGGAGTTGGCCAGAAGGGCGCGAAATTTGATTTACGAACCATCGGAAACTCAATTGGAAACCAGCCTATCCAACGGTCCATCGCCTGTCCAATTCATATTCCTCGCTCTCGCCAGCAGCTCCCACTTTCAATTACTTAGTGACAGGTTGCAGTTGCAGTGATTAGTCCGAGAGCGATTTAAGCCGGGCCCTGCCAGCCATGGGACATCATTGTCACTGCCAACTTGGCGCATTCAACGCCAACTTACGCCAACTGTCTGTCAGCACTGAAGGAGCCTCCACTGGCCTCCCCTTATGCGGCTACTTATGCAAAATACTCCACTCCTGCCCCTGGCTGACACCCCTGGCTGCTCATATGCGGGGAGCCTTGATTACCGACGGCACGGGGCAGGGCGGGCCGGCAGGAGACGCACAATTGTGTTGATTGCACAGATGACAAGACGTAGGACGAGATGACAACTTTGCTGCCTGCCAGCCCTGATGACAATGAAGTGCATGCATGAATATTCTAATCAAATGAGCCGCCAGCCTGTCCTGGCTAGGACCCTCCTGGCTTCTGGCTGCTGGCTCCCTGCTCCGGGCTCCAGGCTCCTGGCTTCTGGCTGCTGTCTGCCGTCCGGCTATTGTTGAGCTGCAAATTTTCAGCCTGTGGCACATGTGTACACCCGAAAAAATTCGTTGACAAAGCTAGCTTAGCTTTATAAATATTACTAATATCTTTTTTGATTAATGATTAAACCATAATTACAACTATTACAAATGAGTGATGTCTTGGGGTGGAAAATCTTTTAAAATTATCTAGTACTTATAGTTTATACTAGTTTTAATCCAAGAATCTCCCCACAGGATATGTTAATTGAAAGGCTCGAGAAAATTTCTTGCAGTTATGAGGCATATGCTTTTTGTTTTGTGTTCTGGAAAAGTTTCAAAGTCAGCCCGAGTCCCCGGCCCAGAAAAACCTTTCCTTTACCTCGTTTCATTTCATTCACTCACTGAAATCGAATTTGCATAATTTAACATGATGGTTGCGCTTATTCCTCTAGCCTGTCAGACAAACAGACAGACAGGCTCGAGGAGTGGATGGTTGGATTGGATTGGGCTGGGGCGGGCTGGGTTATTATTGTGGCTGCGCGGCTAGAGCCCCGCCCTCGCAGTCAGCCCGATGTCCCGAGATCGGCGTCACCGCATTTCGCTGCCACATGCATCATCATTTGCATACATTTGCAGGGCGCCCAGCCAGTCACTGTTCACTCCTCATTACTCCCGGCTCCCGGCTGCCGACTCCGGGCGCCCGTCTCCCGCCTGCCCGCCTGCCCGTCTGCCCGTCTAAGCCGGGTCGATTTTCTTTGAAAATAATTCGAAGCGCGGCAGGAAAGTGAAGAAAAGTGGAAGAAAGCATTGACGTTGATGGATTTTGGCACTTACACAGGCCAGCGCCTGTCACTTTCGTGCGCCAACTGCGACTCCGAAAAAAGGCTGCGGTTGAGCTGACTTTGAAGCGCATTTTAATGAAGAATGATATGTTGGCATCGCAGCCGCAATCGTCCTGCCCCCCCTCCCATTCAGCCCTCCACGTCCCACACCCATTCATCTTCCGCCGCCACTGCCTAACGAATCTACTGACAGTTTTCGCGGCTTTCGCGTGCAGCCACTGTCGAAGTTGAAGGGCGAGGACATCAACAACATCACATCGAGTCTTCCTGTTCGACACCCAATGCCGCCAAACGGGGAAAAATTAAAATTTGCATCAAATAATGTCGCTGTCTTATCTGATATTCTTTTGACATTTCGAGGGAAGTTCTATTTTTGATCCTGGAACTGGAACTGCAACCGTTATATTCGGGCATGATCGGAGGTGGACTCTACATTCTACATTGCATTGTATCTCTCTACACGGCTTACCGTCAAGGACCTCCTGGGGTAATCTCAGCCCCGAATGCAAATCGGGAAACTTAAAATACACAATCGCAGAATAAATACCCCGCCACATTGATTTTCTATGCAAAGTGTCACATGGCGCAGTTCCACGCCCCCTCCTGCCGCCGCCACAGTTGGTGGTGCTGCCTTTTCATGCATATCAAAATAACTACAATAAATGCCAACAAAGGCGAAAAACAACAAACATTAATGGGGAAATACACACGCACACAAAGCCAACAAAAGGCAGCAGTCAAAAATGTTGCAAATGTAAGTAAAATAAAAACACACAACAAAGACACAATTTGGTTCGGGGAATGAGTGTTTGTTGTGTTTGTCTGTTTGTATTTGTGTGTATTTGTAAAACCAAAACTTTTGACATAATAAAATGGAATGTTATTGTCAAAAAAGTTACTTGCATATTAAAACAAACGAAACTTTCTCACTGACTGCCCTATCTCTCTCCTGCTGGTTTTTTATTTTTTTTATTTTTTGTTTCTGTTATTTTTATACTGTTTTCCCGCCCCCGTCAGGATATTTATTTTGCCCGTTCAGACGTGTGTGTGCCTGTGTATTTTGGCTCATAAATGCCGCACACAAATGCAAATGGCGAATGGCGAATGGCGAGTGGCAAGTGGCAAGTGGCAGCCTGTGAAGCGAACAACGAGTCCTGCGAAAGGCAAACAACTTTAATTGAACTGTTTACCCGATTTTTATTTTATGCCACCTCAAGGCCCTACACCTCCAGCCCCGCGTCCTGCGAGCTATGTAATTGTTATGGTTATGTTTGTGATGATTATTTGGCTCGTTGCACAGCTGCCAACTTTTGCAGTTCCCCCCGATGGGGACATTATCATATGCTCCTCCCCGGGAGCCTGGCTTATCGGGCGCCGGGACTAAGTCTAAGAGGCTCTCAGCCCAGTCTACACATCGAAACTAATGCCAAAAACTGAACAGTCAACACAGCTTTAATTGCAGTCGCAGAACTGGAAAGTACAACAAAGAACGAGCCGAACAGTGTTACGAATACGCAATATGAACAACCAAGTACAGTAGCTTTAGTATAGTAGGTATGGTATTGCAGTAGATAGGTACATGGGTACACTGAGAACAAAATCGGGCACTTACCTTTGCTAGCTCCGTCCGGGCCGCGCAGAATGGTGCACTCCTCTATTGTGCCGAACGGATGGAAGATTTGTCTAACATCGTCTTCGGTTTGTTGTTTGCTCAACATGCCAACGAACAGCTTGCGATCTAGATGCTCTGTTTGAGGTCGGTTCGAGTTTGGGTTTGAGTTCGAGTACGGTTCATGTTTCGTGTTATGTAATGCGGCTCGATCGGTCCAATTGGTTTGATTGATTACGATTGATTGATTTGATTCGATTTTGTTGCACCAAAGAGACGGCAAAATGGACAAGTGGCAATGTTTGTTTGTGGGTTGTGGATTGTGGATGGTTGGTTCGGGTTCGGGTTCGGGTTCGATCGTGTTCATGTGAAAATGAAAAGATTCAATCAAGAAGCCAAGCCGGAAATATTTCAAACCAAATCAAATGAATACGGAAAGGAAGATTTTTGATCATCATACATATGCGTGTCATAAGAGGATATGAGAATGTAACAAGGTTACACATTACGCAAAATTATTTTATTTTATTTTTAATTTTATTTTTTGGTTTTGTTTTTAACGAGTAATGAACGCAGCAGGCACATTTACGTAATTGGTATTTTTTGTAAATTTTAAAATTCAACAGGCGCAATATACTCAAAGAAAAGTAAAAGCAACAACATTTATTTAACAAGAGATTTGGTGATTGTTGGATAGGTTGAGCACCAATAGAGCAAATACAGGTACAACATTTATTAATGTGGTTAGATTGGGGTGGGAAGAGGAGTACGAATTTTGATTTTGTAAGAAGAGTTACAAAAAGAATTTATTTTCGAAATTGTTGCATTAAAAACAGTTGATAATTCACCAACCAACAACAAAAAAAATAAAAAACAGATACAAAACACAAAATCAAATCAAAATCAAATCGAATGTAATCACAAAAGAGTTTAATTCATTTTTTCATCGGAAACAATAAGAGAAGAATTGTCAGTTTTCCAATTTTGCCAATTTTGATGTAGTTTTCGTTTCAATCATATATATATATATATATTTGATATAGAGCACGAACAAGTGTTACATAAAAAGGAAAGAAAAGAAGATAAAATTGGGTGATATTTAGTTAAATTTGTTCTCAATTATTTTTCGACTTACATTTACGAAAATGGAAATTAGCTATTGGATACGTATTACGTACGATTATAATGGAAGTATATATGTATTTAAATATAACGGTAACACACAGACACGCACACAAGCATACCACACACACACACACACACACAGTTACAAGCTGGCCACGCACAAGCTACTTAGTTAAGAATAGACATTGAAAGGTAATGGAACACGCTAGTCACTACTTGAAAAAACGGTCAAAGGATAACGGATACGGATACGGATACGGATTACGGGAGCATGAGAGTATATGGCTTACTAATACTTATTCTAAATTAGAGGCTAGGGGGTGGTGAGCAATGACCGCGATGGGGATACGTGTTCGCTAAAATGTAATCTAATGCATAATGTGCGAATGATGGGGTCGCATAAAGGACACGCTGTGCAGCTGGTCCTGGCACTTCGGGTCCACTTTTCGGTATCATATCGAAAATTGAGCATCACATAATTGGCAAAACAATTGCCGGGGAGCCCGGCTCTCGGGCCGGCAGCCCACCAGCCCACCATCCCACCATCCCAGCTGCTGTCGCGTTAAAGTGGCAAAAGCAATCGAAGTAGAAAATAACTAATACGACACGTTGGACCGTGCCCCTGGCCTGCAGGCAATTGTCTTGTGTCCGGGTTAAGCCTAATGGCATTTGAGCCCTGCTTCTCCGCCCGGCTCCAGACCCCACAGCCTAGTCATCCCAAGCACGTGCAATAAGCCAAACAACGCCCATGGCATGCTAAACAACAACGGCAACAACCACAGCGGCAGAGGAGGACCGAAGGAGGGATCAAGGAAGTGGCAGCAGTGGAAGGGTTGGCTTAATAAAAATGTAAAGCACGTTGGATTTCAGGAGGGTTGGGGGTCGGGGGTCAGGGAAAGGTAAAAATAGTGCAGCATACTTTGCGGCGCCTGCTGTTGTACATATGAAATGGCATAGTTCAACTGGCTGTTAACAGTTGCGGCCAAAACGGAAAAAAGGGCCAAGACCAGAGTGCAAGGAGGACATAAGAACAAGGCGGACGGGGGTTGGTGGTGGAAGGTGGAAGGCTGAGGGCTCAGTGCTAAGGACGAGGGGTGCCAAGTAGACGGGCGGGGGCCAGGACAAAAGGATTTGCACAATGTTTAGCCTGGCGTTGCAGCAATTTTCTACAATTACCTGGGGCACAACGACACAGACACAGGGCTGCGAGGATAAAATGCACACCGGGCTTTCAGTGATTCGCTTTTGGCTGTTCTCTCTGCCACTCTGCCTTTCTGCCCCCTCCCTCTTGCCTCATGCCATTTTATATTTTTTTCCGGTCTCGCAGCTGAAGGAAAGACCAGTGAAAATAATATTAAAGGCCATTAGGCTCATATAGACAAGTTAAGTGGCTTCTGGTCCGGGTCTTCTGTCCTCGTACCTCGTACTCCTACTAGCTCTCGTCCTTGTGGTGTTCGTGATTCCCTTGCTAGCCATGTGTGGCAGTTTTTAGACTCTATTCTGTGCCTGCCCCACGTCCTGGGCCTGGCCACTCAGTGTTGCCAAGGCAAAAGAAGTCATTAACGTGTCGTTGTCTTTGATGCTGGGCGGGAGCGGAGTGGGTGCGAAAAAGAAAGCCAAATTAAATTAGTTAACCACATGGCAACTTTTGTACATGTGCATCGCAGGCAAAGGACAACGACAGGTCACTAATTGTTGCACGTTATGTTTTCGCTAGTCTCCCCTTGAGGCGGGACCAGCCGAACGACTGACCGACCGACCGACCGCCTTTTCTCGTCCAACTTTCAACATCTAACATCCTGAATCCTGGATCCTGAATCCAGCTGCATCTTCGCCACTTTGCCCTCCTCCAGGGACGGGTAATTGTATTCCGAGCCCTGACCAAAGGTGCCTGGGCAGCGTCTATGAATAATAAAAAAATGTAGCGATGGCGGTGCCAGAGGACACAAAAAACACAGAAAGTCGCTGACAAAGCGAAAGTCAAAGCCAAAGCTCATGTGCCGAGTTGTCCCTTGATCCCTATCCCTCTGCCCCTGCCCCTCTGCCAAGGTCCTGTATTTTTTTAGTGCACCAGGCAGAGCAGTGACTTCCTTTGACTGCCCGGCCGTTCCCTGCTGCCAATTGACATGTAAATTGACGTTTAATGGCTGCTAATGAGCGTCTGAGGATTAGTTCTTTCTCCGAGCGGAGCGGACGAGGACCCAGCTTTAAACACAAAGAAGCAGCTGCAGCTGGGAGGGGATTTCCGTTAAGCCAGGTGTCCGCCTTAAGCTTTCCAAATGCTAAAGTGTCTCGGCTTGCGGGTCAGTCATCCCCGTGCGGCTAATAAATCATTAAAGACATAAATAAATACTAAATTCACTTCCCCGCCTCCGAACCCGGGCTCTGCAACAATATCTGAAAATGCTTTAATCTGATTAGGACTAGGAGCTCAAATGCAGTGTAAACATGTTCAAACTATTAATTATTTTCTCCGGATCAGTGCTAATATTTGCAGTAATAACCTTTTCAAATCTTAAGATACTTGTCGGGTTGCCAACGTAAGCAGCTAGTGTGTGAATGGAAATTCAATATTAAGTTCGAGTGTGGAAATAGTGAATATATATTTGCAAGAGTAGTGCGATAAACATCAGATAATTTCACATATTTCCACTCATTGGATTTGTATTCTTTTAATTATTTTTTATCCCTTCCCCAGACCTTGTATTTTGTTTCTGATTGATTGATGACGAGACGGGGATGGGTGGTAAAAGGAAACTAATTAATTCGTAATTAGTGACACTTATTTGGCATGTAACGAGGCTAATGCAAAATGATTACACACCTCGAAAAGCTTTCAGTTTTTAGTTCCATTAGCTCTGTGTTTTAATAGATTTTTTTAATAAAGATGGCATGGCCTTTCCAAAGGCAGACTCGTAAGTGGTGCTTCTGGAGCAGACCCATTCAGTCTGAAGGTCTCACCGTACCACGGTCTGAGGCGTCGGCGCTTATTCGACAAACAAGCTAATGTTCCCTTTATGAGTCCCCCAACGCGCTGTCGGCAAGCAGTCGTAGTCGTCGGCGGACAATTGTGTGGCAATTGTCAGAAGTCTCCCTGGTCCTGGCGCTTTAGACGGCTCAGTCCTGGCTCTTGGCTTTCTGGAAACTGCAAGGGCGGCAGAGTGCCCGAATCCTTTGGGCCTTCTTTGGCGACTTGAGCGGCTGCTTATTTGTCAGCCTGAATTCCTTATTAATAAGCGTGAAACCAGACTGTAGGCTGGGGCCGAGTCCTGCAAATTATGCGAGTGCCACTGTCAACCAGGCTTCGGCCAAAGTTGAGAGTAAATTAGTTATTAGCCTTGTAAGTAGTTAAAAGTTGCCAAGTTGCTGACAGCTCCGCCGGAGCGGTTTCTTCGGCGTGGCACTGGGATTGGGATTGAAATGGGATTGGAAACGGAAAACGGGAAGACACCGCTAAAACGCGCCTAATTGTCAATTAGAGCCGAGCAGAAGCCTAGGTGGCGGCGCATTGGAAAGTAATATTTTAGGCACAAAAGTTTGTTTGGGAAGGTCCAAAAGTCAGTGGCAGGCTAGACCGAACTAGGAAGAGCCAAAAACTTTGTCTTCGTCACTGTGGTATTGAAGTGTTAATTAATATTGAAAGGATAAACTTTTCCTTGGCTTTTAAGTGGCAGAAGAAAGGCAAATGTAAATGGCAAAGGGCTTTGCAGGGATTCAAAGATTTCCATTAGTTGGCGGAATATATTTAGAGGAATGAATAAAGCCGAAGCATTAGCGGGAAAAGTTTGGCTTTAATGCATGCTCCTCTCCACGGCTTTGGGTTTTTAATTTTAAAATAATCATCTGTTAACTGGGTATGAATTATTATTTTTTAAGGAGCAATCTCTTAAAGGCGAATTTGCGTATCAGGTTTCAAGCCCCCTCCCTTTAGCCCCCCTGAGAAGGACGCACCCTCTGTGGGAAGGCAATCTTGACATGGCATTAACATTTCATGTGCACCTTTTCTCCGCCGC